TTGTAAGGAGGTTTCTGTAGAAGCGTTTTCTCGGCGCTCGCCATAGCCATCGAGCGAGCGGGTCGCTTCACAGTGGAAGGTGCAAGCCAAGGCAGCTTCTACATGTGAGAGAGCAGGGAAGTTGCATGTAACAACCGATGTTGCTTATTTGTTGGAAGTGACCAAGCACTTCATCCCGCATGGAGAGCTCCAGCTCCACACGTTTAGAAAAATTTCCAACGCCAGCTTTGCTTGTTTTACTTGTTTGTTATGTCTGCCAAGTGCCTGACTACAATACATCTACTGTATCCGGATACCTATTTTTGGTATGCAAACATTAGCGACAAGTATTTGCCGTGACCGCAAACATGCCGTCGAAAGGCGATCTTTTGCTCACACTTACGGTTGGCATCTGGACAAAGTGGTCCGCTCGTCTTTTCGCGTCGAGGGCATGAAGGCAGCTCTTCTCGAGTTTCAGCTGGGCATGCGGACGTTTCAATGCCCCGACGACTCGGGCTGTCAAATTCAGAGAAGAGCCGCAAAAAACGAGCCCAGGCTCTGGGTGCTGTAGAAGAGAGCATGGGGCCCACTGGAGCTCGCTACTGGAGCTGCCATTTACAGTTTTGCAGGCCGGCAACTACATCAGTCGATCGCGAACAATGCAGGCACAGGTGACTCCTCCGTCCACGCCCACGGGGTCCGTATCCCAACCTCCGCGATGGGCTCCGGAACGATGCAACACGAAGCGCATTGACAGTGCTAAAATGAACGATGATCACTTCCAGCAAGTACCGCACGCCCAGGCGCCGTGGCAATCCACCAGCCACTTACCCGAGCGTCGAATGATGGTGCAGCGTATTCTACAGCTCTCTCAGAGCCGCAGCAAGCCCGACGTGAGCCCGGACCGAGCCGTGTTGCTAACAAAGCGAATTGAGCTGGCACTCTACTCACGTGCCGGGTCGCTGGCCGAGTACAGCAACTTAGCTACTCTTCGACGACGACTACAGAGTCTCGTGGCTCTTAGCGTACACGAGTCTGCTGCGAGCGAGACGGTGGTGGTACACAGCAGGAAGCGTCGAGTTGTAGCGCGAAACTTGCTGCAAGTGAACAGAGCGATGAAGCGTCGCCGATGCACCAACGCAACTGCCAACTGCAGTATCTTTGCCATGATGGGCGAGGATTGCACTCGTCTGGTTTTCTCGTTCCTGGACGGCAAAGAGATTATACGCAACAGGACTTTGAACCGTTTTGCGGCTAAATTGTTGCCGAGTTGCGCATTGAGTCTAACAGTCGAAGTGGTCCAGTTGACTCGAGGGCTTGCCCGCAACTCGTCCTTGTTGCAGATGACTAATCTCCAGCAGCTTGTAGTGCACAAGGCTGAAGTATCTTCCGTTGTCCCAAAAGTGGGCTTAGCTACGACGCCCCTTTACGCCTGGGGCTGTGCTGAGCTCCCACCGAACCAAGCTAACGATGGCGAGAGCGCTGTGCTCGCTCTGGCTGGTGCGTTGACCACCGGCGCCTTCCCGAACCTCAAGAAGTTGCAGCTTATCTCAGTGTTCGTCAACACCATGAGTCGCAACGGCATCCGTGCATTGTGTGGCGCAGTCCAGATGGGCTGGTGTCCGCTTCTAGAGGATCTGCTGCTAGCAGGCAACAGCCTCGCCGACCTCGGCGCCTGTGACGTTGCTCGCCTGTTGCAGTCCGCTCAAGCTCCTCGCCTCACGCGTTTAGACTTGCGTCGCAACTTCATTGGAGAGAGCGGGCTGCGCGCAGTTCTGTCCGCTCTGAGCCAATCGAGTCCATCGCTTAAAGTGCTGTGCATGGGCGGCAACCTCGTCACAGACAACTGTGTGAACGAGCTGCAGAGGCTGCTGGCGGGTTCATCCCCCGTTCTGCGATTTCTCGGTCTCGAAGACAATTTCCTAAGCGCCCAAGGCGTGCAGCTTGTCCTAGAGACGGCAGCAGTCATCAACGCATCATCCACCAGGACACGCCGCGGCTCCTGCGATCGTGGAGCCTCCGCGTAAAGCGCAACTAATAGTACTAGCAAAACAACCAAAATAGACTGAAATTAACCATCACTCCTTCTTCTACCATCACTCGGCGTGAAAAAACTGTAGACGAGCGTTGGAGGTTAACCTTCAGCGTTTCACCTCGGGCGGCGATTTTTTTTTTTTTTTTCATTCAACGGAGCTTAAAAATCGGAACCTAGCGATTTACCGGGCGTTAAGTAACGGATTGCCGTTCCCTTCAGTGGCCACTTTACCAGTTGCATGGCAAGTTGCTTCGTCGCTTCAATGGTAAAAGGATCAACAGAGAACACCTAAGTTAGAAGAGATGTTAGCGGTTTGCGAAGACTCAATATATTAGGACACAAACAGGACTTCGCGTGGCTTCGCTGGAAAGCGTCAGCCACGCGCCCCGAGAAGAGAGAAATTCCTTCTCGGTCTGGCAAACGCAGTAGCTGTCTAAGAGTATAGCAGTTCTTGGATTTGCCGTAGAGAGGGGAGTCCGTCGCAACGCTGTCTTGGTTTCAAAATTAAACGGCACTTGATGATGGAGTAATATTTGGTCACTGGTAATAGTCTTCTGGTGGCGTCGTGGAGACATACCATCCCCACTGTGGCGACACGGTCTCTCCATCCGCCTCCTGTAAAGCTGCATCTAGCTCACTATTCTCCACTGCTGTGTCAATTTCCACCTCGTTCTCCACTTCGGCATCTAAGTCTCCGAACTGCATGACAAACACACCAACAGGTCAGCACGAAATTCACGAATATGATCTCAAATTCTTTACAAACTGCAACGTACACTGAGATCACGCGGACTCAATGTGCGGCCTCTTGACGGAGTGGACGCGTCGCTCTCTGTACTGCTGCAAAGGTCGTCGGACTCGTCGCCCTTGTGTGGGCTCAGGACTGCTAATTTTAGGTCCCGCTCGTCGTCGGCAGCGACTGCTTTCAAGTACGTGATCACACTCACGGCTGCGGCTGCTGCGGCTGCGGCTGTGGCCACGACGGGATGATGCTTGACCCAGCGGATGCCACCGGCGATCTCGGTCGGCGTCGGGAAGAAGGACGGCACAATGACGTCTGACATGATTAATATACGCGCTGGGACGATGAGATGCTGCTGACTAAATTTGCTCTGTGGTAATGAATCTCGCTCTGTTTAGGTGCAAAAGGATAAAAAACTTTGCTTGCTCGTGAGTTTTGTTTTCCAGCCGAGACTCTGCACAATGAACTATCGGCCCAGCAACTTCCGGCTGTGGATGGGGCGGCCGGTTTCGTCTTGAAAATTATATGCGAAAGAAAGGACGCTGGAACCAAGCAAAAACACGTCGCACGACCGCCGTAAATCCTGCTAAAATAGATTTGCGTTATTATCTGATGCTTGCTCTGCTTCCATTAAACAGTTATTGCTCCTTTATTATCTGATGCCCTGACATATACAGTTGGGTAGCTAAAATGTTCTTAGAGAGCATTTTTGTGCGGATCGGGTTGAGGCAGAGGCAACAACAAGTGCAATTTTGATTTGATTTTGCCATGCAGGACTTGCAGATTCAACACGAAACCATTTTGCATTGACTGATGGCACCGATGCCTTAGATTTTGAAGCTGTGGAGCGAAGCCGCAGTATCGGATACAATACATAAATCATCGATGCTGAATCGGCGTGAAGAGCCGTACATCCACTGATCTTAGTCCCAACGCCGGAAAACTACGGAGCAAGGCAACGGATCGTCGGTCTAGAATGCTCTGTAGCACTGCGGCGATGCTTGCTGGGTTGGAATGACAGAACATGCCAAACACATGTATTTACTGTTTCAGCACACAGCAAATCAATTGACTTGACTTCTGTATACTTTTGACTTTCTGAGTGTCGCAATAAGACATAATCGACGATTAGAGGTCACAGCAGAAAAGGGACCAGCCGCGCTTCGCTTGGCTGGGCGCCCCACGCGGTTCGCTGCGCTCGCAATATGGAGATAGAATGTTCTGGAAAGTGTAGTGCTCGGCTCGCTGGTGAGCTCAGCGCTGGGCCCGCCTCCGCAAATACCGCGCGGCCCTGCTTCGCGGGCTCTCCGCGCGGGTTTGCTGCGGCTACGCGCCTCGCACCCGCTCACCTTAGTTGGCGCCGCGGCTATGGCACCCACGTCGCCTAGCCCCGTGTGTGTTATCCCAGCGATGGACGTGTGTTTCTCCTAATTCAAAATTCACGTCAGATGGCTCTGTTCGTGGCGAGCGTCGCTGCATTGCAGCTTCTCCGCAGCAGCTTGCAGGCTGTTGCGGCAAACATGATCCCAGTCGGTTTGCTCCCATCTTCTCACTTTTTCTCAGGTTTTCACTTTGCTGGGGCTTTGCCTGTGAGCTGTGGTTAAAATTTGGTTCCTGCAATCTATTGGGTGATCGAGCTTCAACCGGCATTGCCCCCAGCGTCAACGGCAATATCCGGAGCAACTTTGAGAGTCGAGGTGCAGTTAGTTATCAGTGTAGCGACGCCCTGCTCGTGTACTGTACAACACTGAACACAGCCGAGCTCATCCGCCCGGTACTGAAGCAGCACATCACCGCCACCGTCGAGACACGACACTTATTGCGGCGTTGGCGCCTTGCACGATAGGCCTGGCGGAAACTTTTGGTCCCTAAATTAGCTGTCGACTGCGCATTTGCCACTGGCCAGTTGCAACAGCCAGAGACGTCCGGGCTCACGATCTTGAAGAGATGCAAACAACGAGATTGAAGTTGCAGGTTTGACAAGTGTCGAGATCATCGGAATTGCAATTCAAAGAAACGCAAGTTTCCAAAAAACGACCCGTTTGGCACAACATTGCGAACACCGAAAGGCAACTTTTTTGCATCAACCTGCTTGTTGCCACAAAATCGTAGTACTAATATCCCAGATAGTGCTAATTAATACTCTTGCTTACGTCTTGGATACCTTGGTCTTCTCTTCCTTCTTGCGAGCTTGATACTCACTCGCGTCGGCTTCAATGAGCTCCCGAATCTGCTTTCGAGTGGCCGTGATGTCGTCAGCCGAGAACGCGCTCGACGTGATCAAAGCCTGGAGATGTTCGTCCGTCACCTTCTTGCCGATCACCCCTCCATTCCGACTCAGCACCTCCAGCTCCAGACAATTCTCCAGCATCACTTCAGCGAACTTGAGCACGTAAACGCCGCAGTCGTAGCTGTTCTCTTGCTGTGGCGCCTTCACATTCACCGTCAGAACTTGTTCCACCGCGTACTCGGAGGATTCGTGCGAATTCTCCCATCGCATCCGCAAAAACCTGCCCACATCGTCACTGCAAGGTCAGTTTCCACCCCCAAACAGCCACTGAAGTAGTCTACGCACGCTCTTAAGTTGCGGATGATGGCAGCTTTGCGGTGATAAGACCCAAGTGGGTCCAATACTGCAATACACGATTCGGCCTCCTATAATTAATACTCAGTCAGTTGATATAAAATTACAGAGTTTTTCACGATGCCAGAACGCACCTCGTTACCAGAGTCTGATCCTGCGAGTCCAGGGTTCAGAACCACAGCAAGACTCCAGTGCAAGCTATAGAACAGCAATGCAAAAGAGTTAGAATCAACCACGACGTCATCGAATCCGCCGCCCATCGCGCCGCCTTACTCCTTGTTGATTGGAATAAATATGATGGAGCGGTTGAAGAAGTTCGAGTGCGCGTGCCACGTCGACACGTTCTTGTACCCCGCTTGCATCCTCTCGTGCGCCGTCGCCCCCTTTCCGCCTCCAAGTCTCGTGTAGAAGTGCGAGTTGAGGAAAAGCACTTTATCCTGGACAAGTGAATTGTCCCGGAACGTGTCCAGCATCATACGTCTGCAACAGCGTCACATTAGCCCACACCGCTCAAGAGCCGTCCAGACATGGCACACTTACTTGAAGTAGTAGTCGATAATGTTGTCGTTCAGATAGCGTCGGGGCTTGAGTCGAGCCACATCGCTGCGGATGATCACGACAACGTCCGACGTGCAGGGCGGCAATGGGTACGTTAGCACTGTAATGCTGCCATCAGCGTCATCTTCTTCCGACTCGGACGGACTGTCGAGAGCGCAGCATAGAAACATTCAGCTTTGATTTCAGGTCGATCATTGCAGGTAGCGCACCTCTCGACGTCTGTTGGAGCGCTTCCCCGCAGACTAGAGCGCCGACTGGACTTGTAGCTGAAGGGATCTTTGATTAAAGCGTCCAGATGTTTTTTTGCTTGTTCCTTGTCGTCTCTGTGAGTGAATTTGCACGTCAAAGAGTTAGCGCAGTTAAGTGCAGCTCGGAGTGTCCAGTAGCATGTCTCGTACATTGCGTATACATCCCCGAAGGACCGTAAGTGTTCTTGAATCTGGCTTAAATCTCCTCCCGATGCGTCCTCCAAGGGACGAAGCAGTAGGAATCCTTTGGAGAGCTCTACCATCGACAAGAGATCGTCAGTCTCAATCCAGCTATACATCTCGCAATTACGCCGTGTTACCAGTGTCTGCAGGGTCGTAGAAAATCTTCATGGCTGCCTCATCAGCTACACTTGCAAACGGCAGCTTGAACGCCATGAAAGAAGCTTCGTCCAGCAATTGCTCCATGCGATCTGGCTCTTCGACCTCGATGTCTATCGTCCTATCCACCTCCTTGGCCACACTATACAGTCTACACGATAGAACCAGGCCACATGAGTTCACTCGTCTTCCCCCACAGCACTACAGTACCGTAACACGTACCTGATATCCCGCACTTTGTCCAGACAAAAGAGATAAACCCCTTTGAACGGCCAGCTCTCGTTCTTTCCTCGGATATTGCGCATACACATCCTGTCGCCTTGGAAGAGCAGGTCCACCACACACTGGAACAGGCCAATCAGCACGTCGCAGTTGTCGATCCTGGCCGTCGCGTGCAGCGCCATCTCGTCCACGTCAATCGCTTCCTGTTTCTCCGTCCTGCATCCACTTTTCCTCGTATCGTTCAGCACCTGGTCCACAACGTCCTTGCTCCTGCTGTCTGACGTCACTTCCGACTCCGAGTCCGAGTCCAACGCGATGGGCTTCGCTGCGGAGCCCTCGCTGCTCATTTTCCTCTTGCCAAGTCTCGTGGCTCTTGCGTTCTGTATCGAGAACGGCGCCACTGAGGTCGGCGAGTGGCCGAATAAACTGCTGTTGCTGCGGTCTCGTAGCGCGTAGCGGCTCACCACGGGCAAAGGCGTTTTCCGAGTGTTGCTGCCCAGTTTCGCCCTCTTTTCAGCTGCTGTCAGGAGGGTTCGAGGCTTGGCCACTGGCTGCCTCGCTCGCGTGTTCACCCAGCCGCTGGTGCCTGTATGTGGCCTAGAAGAGTCTTTTATTGGGGTGGGGGCACTCCCGAGCTCTAATGAGGTCGCTGACGTTGAGTAGGCCATTACCCTCATCGTCCCACCAGATCCGCGATTGACTCGTGTGTTCTTCTTGGTTATATTGTCCAGGAACGGATCTTGCGTCCTCGGCGGGATGAATTGCTGTAGTGAACAATTATTGTTAGAATTGAATTTCATCAGCAATAACAATAATTGTTAAATGTACTTGGTTCAGGACTCTGTCGAGGACGCTAGAGGTTGACGAGGAGGATGCTGTGGAGGCGAAGGAAGACCCTGGAGCACCGATGCTCTGGCCACTCGCCTTGGGTTTCATGGACTTGTACTTATCTGGCGCATGGGGTCCTTCTAGCTGTCGACTAGGCGGACTGTCCTGGCCGAAGTTGAATTGGCTGCTGCTGTCCTCCCAGTTGGATCTGGGCTGCTGGCTGTGGGTAATAGTGTCCACATGAGTGCCGCTGATTGCCATACGCAACAAGCCAGAGCAACACAAGCCACGTACTACCGTGGGACGGAGCGCTCGGAGGCCACAGTGGAGAATTCCAGCGTGTTGGAGTAGCGCGAGTCGATTGTTCCGTCGGTGTGCGGGCCTGAGGACGTAGATATGCGCGTCGTGTGGTGCCGCGACGCGCCAAAGCGCCGAGAGCGCCGGTCTCCCATCGAGTGGCGGCTTGGTTTGAGAAATAAAGCAATGGGATTATTGCACAACATGAAAAAATGATAGTAAACTTTTTTCAGCCAGTCAGATGACAGTAAATTTGCTGAACTTCCAGAAAGGAATAACGGAGTTTTGAGGATCTCTGTGAACGTGCTTCCTATCCGTAGTGAACATATTTCGGGCCGTTTTTCATATGCCTTTAACGAGAGAGTTGGGCTGGAAGTGTAGT